AAATCGCTTTGATTTTCCTGAATATGAATGTTATCTCTGCAATAGAGAGAATATTAGATGGTGTTCAGAGAGCATGTACCTGAATGCTGTGGGGGTAGGTGATCGTTTGAAAGCAAGAGACTATGATGCATCATAGCTCCCACTGCACTGAATCTAATCTCTGACAATATGCCAGTTCCTGTGCTAGGCTCTATGTGGACAGCAGTAAAGGGGAGAGCCTAGCCAAGCTGCTGGCTGTTTGGGAGACTAAGAAGTGGGTCCAAAATCCAGTTGGAGGAGCAGAACAAAATATTCTGGATGGTTGGAAGACATGTCACCGTGACGTATTGTATATTTGATCTTTTGACTGAAGTTACTATTTGTTTAAAAAAAAAAAAAAGGCATAAAACAGAGTGAACTGTCTGTCAGAAGAATAAGACTCCTGTTCCTTTACCGTACACTAATTGTGTGACAACAGCTCCTCTTCTCTTCCCCACATCAGCTGCAAAGGGTGTCCTTGTCTATCTCAGAATGTATAAACGGGTCTTACTGTCAGTTTTAGGCTCAATTATAGCAGTCACATCTTTGTGAACACTGCAAGGAATCAAATGTAGCTGAATGTGTATAGGGGCTGCCCGTCGCTCAACGGAAGGCAAGTCTCTTGTCCATGGCTCTCATCAGGCAGCAGTATTTAATCACCCTAATGTTCCCCATGTCTTCAGACAAATGTTTCCCGACTGCCTTTACTCTCCAACAATTGAACGGTCTCTTCCAAATATCTCCCACCATCTACTCCCTTCTGAGCTTCCGCTATGCTGTTTTTGCTATCCCATTGTCTCTTATGTAGTCCCTGGTTAATCTCATTGTCAGGTGGGTGTGAGTGAAGTGGCCTATGTATCTGATGCTGTAATGAGGTAGGATACTCTGTACTGACTCGATCCTTCTGAAATAACAAATCCCCTGACCTATGTATAAGCTGCTCAGATACTTCACCCCTGCCTTAAAACAGATTGTAGAGCCTGGGCTGGGTACTGGCTAAATGCCATGATGTAGTGTCAACCACACAATGCCTTTTTGCTTGAATCTTGTAAATAATGGTAGTGCATTGTACATGTTGTCCTTCACGCTGGATCAGTGTAACTTTTCCATCCACTAGTGGGAGGGAAAAACAATCCTTTGCCATGATTTAGGACAATTTTATTTTTTGGATGTTGTCAGAAATTACAGCAATATATTCATAAATACCTAATTACTACATTCAACAAATAATATATTACATTACAATTAATTCAAACAAGTACACTTAGAACAGGTTTAATTTTTCTTTCACAGCATCTAAACTGCCCCCAGCAGGCCTGGGCTTTCTCCCCCCTCTGCCTCTCCCTCCCGTGCTCTGGTTTTTACTGCTCTAGCAATTCTGCACAGGGTACATACAAATAAACACAACCAGTCAACATGGCCCGTAGGGCAAGGAAGAGGGAGGGGAGTATTACTGAGACTTTTTAATTAAGCACTGGGTCAAGAAGTTGGTGATTAGCTCCTTTCTCTATTGGTATGTGAGGGATGGGGGTGGAATTGACACTCAAGTTCAGGAATTGTTGCTAAGCAAAGTTACATTTTCAAACAGGCTCCTAAACATTGCCATCTGGTGGTGTGCTTGTGAACTCCCACTTTCCAGTGTATTGAAATTGATGGATAACCTGACAATGAACTTTTTTATCAGGGGCTGGGAGGGGAAACAGCGATTTAAGCATAAAGTGTATTTTTCTGTGTTTAAAATTATCATGAAGTTTGTGAATTGGCAGGTAGTAGGCCAAAGGCTTGCTATGCAATCTGGTTTAAAGAACTGTCAGCTATACGTGTATTTTGCCTCTTAAACAGGTAAGTTAAACCAAGAATTTGTGTGCTTCTTTTTTAATGCACTTTTTGCACATGCAACAATAGACCTGAAACAGAAAGCAGTGGTAACTTCCTTTTTTTTAAACGGAGCCCTATTCATTTTTAAAAGCCCCCAGTACTTAAATGCAATTATGATTAGAAAAGTGACTAAAAACAACATTATAGTGCTACTTGGTGTATGCTGAGTCATAATACCCACTCACACTTTTTTCTGCTGTGAGTCGTGTAGTATTTACAAGACTGAACCCCAGAAGCTAAATTCTAGTTACCGCAGCAGCATTGCCAACTAAATTCGGATGCTAGAATTTTTGATTGCTGACAGTGTGTGAAGCAGGAAGGCTATGGCTTTAGTTTCAGGTTAGCAGTAACCTGCCTTGGCATTAAAAATAGTCTCACTTTAAGTTGTAAAAATAGGCAAGTCTGATAACAAAAGCATCAACTGGGAGTAAATCTTTAAAAACCACATAGTAGTCCAGTCACTTGCCTGCCCATAATGGGACTTTAAAAAAATCTCTGCCCTCCGAGTGAAAGGAAAACTGCAGGCCTGGTGCTGTGAAGACATTGCTAGTCATGGAAGACAGAAGTTCCTTCATGTAAATACTTTGAAACCAGCGTGGCGTAAATCAGCTCTGAAGCCAACTGTGCTGTGTAATATTTGCTGTTCTTCCTTTTGTGTATGTGGATGTTTTGTCTGCTCTTCAGTCTCCCCGATGGGAAATAGTGTCAGTCCACCAGAAAAGAAGAATCACACATGAGCAGTCCTACGATTAATCATTTCAGCTTTTTGGGTAAAGCTAAATTGACACTAATCAGTGACTGCTTTGTTTTCTTCCATTTGCAAAATGGAACGGGCTCAAGATAGGTTAGAGGGTTGCTGTTTGCATTGCCCTAAATACCAACACAAAAGGGGAAAAAATAGAGAATTGCATGGTTTAAAACGGGTATTAATTTCAGATTTCCTTTCTGGTCCTTTGCCTTGTTCCTGCTGCATTACAGCCTTAGATTTACTTAATCTGATTGTCTTGGGGGTACTCCTGGGGGTAGGGGGGAAAAAAGAGCCTTCAATGTGGAAACTACCCGGGTTGCAATGGGGTGTTTGTAGGAGCTATGGCTAGAGGAAAATCATAGCCTCTACATCAGGGGTTGGCAACGTCTGGCACACGGCTCACCAGGGTAAGCACCCTGGCGAGTCGCGTGCCAAACGTTGCCGACCCCTGTTCTACATGCTACATCTAACAATAGATTGATGTTACTTAAACAGTGGCACATAGATTTGCTTTTCCCTGTTCTGCCCTCATTGTTTCACTCTGGCTAGCCCCTCAATCATGAGCTATGCAAGAGGGTGAAGTAGCTGTCACTGTCATCTGACAACATGTAGGTGCAAAATCTTCTAGGAATGCAACAAGCCAACCCTTGCCCTGCCTGAGATGTAGTGGGGGCAGCGTGAATGTTTCTTTGGAAGAACAGCAATAGACTCAGGCTTTGTCTACAATGGAAACTGAACGACAAAACTTTTGTCATTCAGAGGTGTGAAACCCCCTCCCCCCCCCAGTGACAAAAGTTCTGCAGACAAAAAGCGGTGTGAACAGCACTTCATTGGCAGGAGAGCTCTTCCACCGACAAAGCTACTGCTGCACACGCGGGGTGGAAGTTTTTTGTCAGTGGGAGAGCTCCCTCCTGCTGCTAAACAGTGGCTACACTGCGCTGCATGCCTTTTAGCGGTAGGGCTGTAGTGGCACAGCTGTGTAGTGTAGACATAGCCTAACCGGCTTGCCTTCTAAGTGTCAACTGTTAGAAACCTAAAGCAAATACCATGGAGACAGAAGGCCATGAACCTTGTCTAGAGCATGTTGTGATTACTAAAGGCTGTTTTTCCACGCCAAGTGCTTCACCGTTCCAACAGAACAGGTGTCTCTGGCTGTCTGTGTCTTCCAAAATCTGCTGTTGAAGGAGACATCTCCAACCAAGTCTAGAGACAACAGTAGTATGTAGATTTTGATCAGAGATGTTTGTGATACTTTTGCCCTCATAAACTGTCCCACGACTCCTCCCCCAGCTACAGAACATTTACAGTAGCTGTTGAGTAGGGGAATGGGATATGTACATCTATAGCCCTTCCTGTCTAACTTACAGCTGAAAACGAAGAGCCTGTTAGTGCTGTTCCTCCTGCTGCCACTTCATCTTAATTTAAGATGAAATATTCCTGATCAACATGCACAGCAAATGCTATATGAGGAAACACCTAATGCAATATTACTGCCAGCTGCTAGGAAGTAGGGTGAAGCAGAAGCCTATTACCCACAGTATCCCTCACCCATCTAAGAAATTAATAAAAACAAAATCAATTCCTGTGCACTGCTCAGAAAAGACTGAATTTTGCCAGCAGCTGCCCCTCGGCTGCTTACAAGGACTAGAGCTCAGCTAGGTTAGGGATAACCCAACTGTAAACTGAACTTCAAGCCAGCTCTTTGTGAAAGAGGTCCTCCTACTTCACAGAAATGTTATTGAGGAATAAGTACATGGAAGAGACAGAAAGGGCAAGCTGGGAGAATTTCTACTTCCTCCTCCCTATTCGCACTGGTGTTTCTCATGTGCGTGAACAACGGGAAATTCAGCTCAGTCTGCACTGCTTCCTCTCCTGTTGTTCTCTAACACCTCATTGCTAACACAAGCAGTCTCCCCCCCGCCCATTTAAAACATTTTCTAGATCACTTGTCAGAGCGCTGGAAAGACATCAGTAATGCTGAATCAGAGACCCAAACAGTTCATTTAGTTCCTGAACTTTTGTTCCCAACACAGACTTTTCCACTCCCTTCCCCATTTAGTAGCAGCTGGTCATATTTGTAATGTAACTTTTGAAGTGCTTGAAGGGGAAAAAAAAATAATCAGTGAAAGAGCAGTAAGGAATAATTAATTCCTGGCCTTTTAGTAACAGAATTTTCTGTACCAGTAACTGATGCTACACAAAGCAAAAAACAGAAGTGATAGCACATGCCCCAGTGGAAAGCTTTTTTTTTTTTTTTTAAATTGTTTTAAAACACTTCAATATTTGTCATGTCCTGACCAGCAGCAGTACAAACACTAAAAGCAAGTTATTTTGCCAAAAAAAAAGCAGAAACATATTAAAAATGGCAAGCTTTTTATAACAATAATTAAAGTAATAAAAACATACAAAACTTTTTAAATATATACACAGTACAAGGCTGAAGCACCTTTTTGACTTTTTTTTTTTAATTGCAAAATCGTTTGAGTTTGTATGAAAAGTTCACCCACTAGGGTATGTAATTTGTCTCTCTCTCTCTCTAGGTGTGTGTGTATTGTTGTTCTGTACATTCCGTTCCCTACCCCCCAAAACAGTAATAAAAAGGTACCTTCGGTTTGTTTATTCACTTTATTTTTTTATAGCGAAGTGCATTTCCAGTGGAAAGCCTGTTGATTTAGGAAAAGGCTCAAGTTCTGAAGCTGTGTTGGCTCCTTCCAGGACTTGTTACTCTGCAGATCACTACCACAGCTTTCCGTATCGGAGATACACAGTTCATTTGCTTTCAAAAGTATACCCAACTTCCTCTTAACACGAGACACACCATCTTCCCCGTGAAGAACAGGCAAACCCCATGGTACAGTAGTTGGACTAATATGGCAACAAAAGAATGATTTTGTGTGTGGACAGCACCCTCTCTACAGGGAGGTGGCTATTAGTGTTGTTGATGAAGTCTTATCAGATTTAAAAAATAATAATTAAAAAGTGGAGGGGAAGGAGGAAAAAAGCACCCCTCATTAAAATTAAACAAAATCTAGCCTTCATGGGTGGGTTGTGGGTTGCTTGCAGAATTACAAAGATTCAGTTGCATTGAAGTCAAGATAGAGGTGGGTATTTTTTCTGGATCCCATAATCCTTTGCTCCATGCATGGCACATTCTCCATTTATATTTTAGCTTCAAACCTCCCAGTGAAAAATATTAAATATTCAAGGTAATAAAATAGATTATTATTTCTATACTATATGTTCAGCCTAGTGCAAGGGAGCGTCACCTGGGATATCCCTTGAAATAACCCCTAGACCACTGCATTGCAGGCAACGCAAGGCACTTTCTCAAGTGATCTAGTTCGGCCTGAAGTCGCTCCCTTTCCGAGACAATCTTCTGCTTCTGGTTCCTTAGTTCCTGTAAGGGAATAGGAAAAAACAAAGTGAAAAAGGGGACACTGACACCTCTCTCCCAGCATGTGCATCTATGGGGGATATATTATGCTCTTCTGCAGGGGCAGGCCACTGGGTTTGTTGCAGTCAACATTTGGGTGGTTTGGTAGGCAGATGGAAATGATACCAAAGTTGGATCAGATCAGAAGAGCTGATTTTCAATCATGCTGGGGTAGTCCCGTTGAGTTTCCCCTGAGTAAGTGAGCTCGGAATCAGACCCACATGTTTTCCTCAAACTTTGTGGCATCTATTTTCCTCAGCACTGTTCCTTCTTACATTTGTCCACCCTACTGCCTCAAAGCTCCTGCCCTAAGAATGGAGATCCTGACATCCAGCCTTGGCTGGAGCCAGCCCATGTCTTTTTCCTGTGGTGCAGAGGTGGGGAACCCTGCAGCCAGCTTTTCAGTGGGCCAGACAGAAAACTAAAAGGGATGGCAAAACTTGTACTGCTGCATTTAAAAAATCCTACATGGCAAGTGTTATAATAAACCTACTGCCCTGCACAGGCTGAATTCCCAGTGATGGTGGGGGCACTGAACAAGCACAGAGAATCACAGGGGAGCGGTTCTGCCCTACAAGTTGTTTATAGGTTTGCACAGACTCTGGATGGGTCTCCTTTCCTTGCTAACAGCGTTATGCTGCTTACAGTGACCCTGTCTGCATGATACTTGCTAGTGCATTTTTATTCCAGAAGATGCTGTATACAAATGGGCAGTAGGTCATCTGAGAAGCATGCTATTCTATACAGGTTTTTACACCACACTCATCACCATAGTGTCTGAGTGCCTTCCAATAGTGCAATGAGCAACACGACTACACGTGTCATGTGTTGGTTCTCTTGTCCTCACCTGCACATTCCCAAGGGCAGACTCCAATTTTCCTCTACTGGGGTTCCAGTAGGTTCGCCCTCCCCCCCCCCGAGCATGTCAAAGTGTGCATCACTCACCGCCATGCTGTGTGACAGCTGCTCTGCAGTCAGACTGAGACTGTAATGCTGGGCCTCCAGCCGTCGGCACTGTGTCTGCAACACTTGGCGTTCCAGGTTTTGTTCTGCAAGCAAATGAGAAACAATCAGCCTTGCATGGTATCATCAGACTATTTGGCTAATAGCATCTCTGGTCTGGCTAGTCTTTCCCACACCAGGCTCCTGAATTCTCACCCTTGATGTTGGCCTTCTGAAACCTCAGAAGGTCACTGCCAGAGGCAAGATGTCAGACGTGCCAGTCTGCTCCAGCATGGACCTCTCAACCTTCATCCACCACTACTGAAATGTTCTCACCATATTATGTCATGGAGATTAAGGACACCACCACTGTAGCCAACGATCAACTGCGCAGCAAACTACATAACCTCATGGATGGAAGAGTCCTCCATATCTTGGCCTTTTTCCTAAAATTTGTGCACCATGCTGCAATGTTCCTAAGGTGTTCATTTGTGCATTCACCAGACATGACCGCTGGCATTCTTTAAACCAAGCACTGGCACACTGGACAGATCTGTAAAAAGTTAAGGCAGGATACTTCTTGCCAAATTCTCTCCTATTCCAGCAGGATTAACTCTGCCCTTCCCACGTAGATTAAAATAAATTCCAGGCAGTCTACAGTGCCTCTAGAATGCAGCATGGTGCTGGTTCCAGACTTACCGCCTCTTCAGAATGTAGGCCCAGCTCCTAAAGGTGTGTAGGCTCCTATCTTCCATTGATTTCAAATGTGCTCAGTTTGCATAAAGGAAGGATTTTTTTTTAACTGCCAGTCATGCAAATACAGCCTAGGATCTGAGAGACAAGCTGGGTTCTTTATTGCTTGTGCATCATCAACTAGGTGCCTAAATCCCATAGGGAATGGAGAACAGGCTCTGCAGCTGGAACAAAGATTCTATTGATGGGTGAGCCAAAATATAGCATCCAGGTTCCTCCCCCACAACTCTGTTGCCTCTGCAAGGCTAACAGGAGTAAAAGCTTATTATGGTATCAGACAGGAGTCAGAATATATACAGGGAGCAGAGCTGTTGAGAGAGGTCCATTTTCCCCCTGACATTTTTCTGACTCCACACTTTAAACAGAGACTCTGCTCTGTGTGGAGTTTAACCATCCAATACCACTTTTCCTAAGGCAGGACTGGTCTCCTGTCCAAAACTCCTCCTTCCACGCGCAGCCTGCTTTGAGCCAGATGACTACCACCACCCATGGCAGAGGGAGCTACATTATAGTGGCACTGTTGGTGAAATACTTTGGGATCCTCCAAGATGAAAGGCTCTCAGGAACGCAAACTAGTATCATCATTTTCTAAAGGAAAGTAAGAACTGATCTGCAAGACAGCCCGATGTCAAATAAAGGGTCCGCAGCTTATGGAAAAAACACTGCCGAAGCTCCTTTGAGAAAGCTAACAGCACCTTTCAGTTTTCTAAAAGACAATTTAAACTGTATTCAGAAGGATCTGAGTACGTGAGATGTAATTAACTTCCAGGGTATCAGAAACATTATTGGGTCTTGCACACTAACAAAGGATTTATTGCCGCGATAAAATGAGAGGGGAAGCGAAAGCAGCTGATCCACTGGAGGCTGTTCAATATTTCTATCGTCTTATCAAGAACACAAAGAATAATCAGAGCGCCGGAAAATAAAACAGCATGTAGCAAAATTTGTGCAGCACTGAATGTGTGGAGCATTCATAGGTGTTCATAGGTTAGCCAGCTGTATTGACGCTGAAAGGTTGCTGTGTATTTTTGATAACCATCTAATCACGGAGGACTAATTGCAGTGGCATGAACAAACACCTGAGTCTTAAGAGCTGGAGAATCAGGTGGATAGCACAGAGATGGGAGCTGTGGAAAACAGATTAAATTAGATTCACCAATAATGGTAAAAGATGCCCCAATCCTATTTCAGACTCTGAGTTGCAGCCTACACATGTATTTATAACTGCAATAAATTAGGGAAAGACTTGGTGATCAATCTGCATTTGTGTTTTCCTGAGACTTGGCTCCAGCTCGCCGTTTGGTAATTAGCTGTGTTGTAATTCCTAAAGTGTCTCTCTCCACAGATGAGACTGACAGCCCTTAAGTGAAGTGTTGTTCAAAAGAAAATGACTCACAGCCCCTTGGGTGCAGCGCATGCCAGTGGCTGAGCTATCGGATTGTTTTGGGGCACAGTGGAGGGTGCGCCAGGTCACTGTTTGACACCTGTATGGCATCTCCATTGCCAGCTTGAGGCGGTGCATCAGCGGGGTTATTTTTAGAACATTTCAAGAATATAAAGCAGGAGACTAAGGAGAAAAACATCAAGGGGTTTTGCGCTCTTGAATCCAGACTCCATTTCACTGTGCAGCCTTACAGACACTGCTCTAAGGTGCTGGGTCGTATTAATGAATTTTCATACACACCTGTCGCCTTTATGTCTATCCTCTGCTAATTAACAGCCTTATGCTTTTCCACAGCCCCTTCCCGTCGGAGGATCTTAAAGTGCTCGACAGATGTGAATAAATTTGCCTCACCTGTGAGTCTGATCAGTTTTTAATCCCCGTGGTACGGATCAGGAAACTAAAGCACAAAGTAACATGCCCAAGGTCCCAATGGGTCGATGGCAGAGCCAAGGCTCGAACCCAGTGCTCTTGGAAACTAATAGGCACAGAGCAGTTCTTATCATTATCAGAGAGACAACCCTTCAGTATTGAGAGAGCACAGTCAAGCAAGCAACTGCAGCAACAGGGACAGCAGTAGCCCTGCTATTCCTTCTCCACTCCAGCTGAGGTTGAAGTTGGAAGTTTCACCAAAATTCCACCTCCACTTACATTACAGAAAATGTAGTGATGTGAGCACACTCTGAGATGGTAGCAGAAATACCATACTGTCATTTATAGGACTGAGACCTCAAGGTGACAGGAGGGCTTGAAATCGCCTTGATGACCCATTTGTAATCCTTTTCCCTTACCTTCTATATGTTCCTGATAAGCTTCGAAGATTGCCTCAATCCCCTGCCATTTAGGTCTAGGGTACTCCTCTTCCTCCTCTTCTTCCTCCTCCTCCTCCTCCCCCTCTGAGTCAGAGTCCTTGTCCTGTTCGGGTGGGATGAGCCCCTTCCGTGCCAGTGGGGTGTCTTGCTGCCCATTCTGTTGAGGCAGCTGGACCCTGCTTGAGGTCTGAAGCTCAGGAATGTTGTAATGGATAGAGGTGTCAATTTTGTGGTTCTGCTCTGCAGTAAGTGCTGCTGCACTTCCTGAAAGCAAGACAGGAACAGAAAACAATCAGAAAAGAAGACTTCTTATGTCCTCAGAAAACATTTCAAACTAAACAGGGCACATACTGGAAAACATCTCAAGGCCCGGGCCAGCGCGGATAGTCTACATGAGCTAATTCCACAGCTACCACCTGCGATCAGCCTAATTTCTGGGTGTCAAAGCATGTCCTGCGATGAAGTATATTAGGACTGATTTTCCAATCCTTGCCTCCATCCGTGTGCATGCACCTGCTCTGCACTAACACCTATGCACACAGGTCGACATGCACAAGTGGGGGCCAGGTGTTGAAGCTCCACTGACAATCAGATTCGTAGCAGTGTCTGGTTACTGTAACCAGGCAGCCACAAAGGCTAAGAAGCTTGACTCCTCATTTGCTGGAGACAAGAGGAGTGTGGGAGCTGGGGTGTGGATCACCTGCCCACTAGTGTCTGATTAGAATTCTCTGTCTCCCTGCTTGCGAGGAACAGTCTGACCCTGACTGTCCGGGCAGCCCATGTGGAATCACACTGGTTGATAAATCTAAAAAGGATGAGTGAATGAACTCCATGCACTTGCATCAGTGTGAAGAGAATGCCAAATGCAAGGCTGCAAATTCCCTTTCACACCCTTTGTAACAGAAGGTGCAGTGAGTGCAAGAAAACTCTCTTCACAATCCTTCTCTAATCCTCAGCCTCTCCTGATGGCACACACGCCTGGAAATATGTTACTGCTTTTCTAAAATGCTACAACTATTTTGTGTATTACAGTAGCGCCTAGTGGCCCCTAAGCTCTTTAGGGGGAGATCCTAACTGGCAAGATAAGAGACAGGGCAGGAGGAACAACAGAGGTGCAGAGAAATGATGTGACTTGCTGTAGAATCATAGAATATCAGGGTTGGAAGAGACCTCAGGAGGTCATCTAGTTCAACCCCCTGCTCAAAGCAGGACCAATTCCCAACCAAATCATCCCAGCCAGGGCTTGTCAAGCCTGACCTTAAAAACCTCTAAGGAAGGAGATTCCACCACCTCACCTCCCTAGGTAACCCATTCCAGTGCTTCACCACCCTCCTAGAGAAAAAGTTTTTCCTAGGTCATACAGCAGGTCAGTGGCAGAGTTGGGACTAGAGTGCCGGTCTCTTGCCCGTCAGTCAAGTGACCTAATCACTGAATGTGTGTCCTTAAAATAGGCTTCTTATTTAAAAACATTTTTGATCAGGTTGCATTAACAAATGTGCTGCCCTTGGCTTATTAATTTGTCTATAAGATTAACTTTTCTTCCTTAGCGTTGGAGATGTCTTCAGTAGATTTTAATGGCTCTCTGAGCCAGTCATTGCATACATTTATGGCCCCGTACTGTCTACATTTTTTGTATGCTGCTCCTCTCTGCTTTCTTAATACTTTTTTAATTTTCTGTTAACAGCTGCTCCCTACACACTGTAGTAACTTTACTTCTGCCCACTGAAATTAATGAGCTTTTCAGTGCGTGAGCCATATTTTCAGTGCCTCTCATGAAGTTCCCATATTTTTACCTCCTACTGTAATTGTTCAGGCTGTTTCAGTGATGGGAAAGCACAGATGTATTCATAATTTCCAGAAACAGGTTGTGCTTCATGCTTACATTGAATACCCACATGGCTGGCAGTCAGATGTGCTTTTCTCCCTTCCCATAATGGTCATTTCCAAAACTTTTTTTCTAGAACACGTAAGAGATAAAAGCATGGCTGGCTGGGGAATTACTGTCATTATATCTGTACCAACAGCCAGATTTTCTAAACTAACTCCTGCATTTTTACATGCACAAGTTTTGCACGCACTTTTATTTCAGGTCTAGGTTTTTGTGCACATAAACTCCCATGTATATGTGCAGATGTCCTTTGTGTACACAAACTGGAGGTTTTGATGTCTAAATACCTGACATTGTACAAGCAAATAAAATTTGGCCTCTATTCAGGATCCGCACGTGCTAAAACTCAGGTGAGGAAAAAAGTGTGCGTGCAGAATCTTACATGTGCAAAAGTGTGGACACTTGCTTTAGGGCTTAGATGGAAGCCTCATTGAGACTTCAGTGCAGTGCTCTTATTTGTACACATATACTGTTGCTGTCTCCCCCTCCATTTCCCCTCTGGTTCTGTCCCATTACCTTTGTGCTTCTGCAATGCTTTCTGTGTGGACTGCAGCACAGACTCGTGAAACTGATGTGCAAATTCCTCAGCTATGAAGGGCTCCCATGGCTTATTCTTCCCATTCATGCTGTGAGAGAGTGGCACCGGGATATCCTTAGGCAAAGGGCCCCTGACATAATTGAATATGCTCAGGCTCTTCTTCCCGGTGTGCCCATCGTTCAGCCTGGGCTTCTCAGCAGAGACCGGAGCTGGTTCCTTGGCCCTCTGGAGCTCGTGTGGTCTCAGCTGTTCTAATCGACTGGGCTCTGATGTCTTTTGAGTGTCTGGCAAGGAGGCAGTGATACCAACAGGTTTATCTGAATCCACAGGAAATTGCTGCACCTGGAGCTCTTTGGGAAATAAAACACAACAGAGTTACTAGTCGTGCTTGGGACTGATTCAGAGGAGATGCTTGATTCGAATGTCCCTGTGTTCCCTGAGGCGTTACTAAATGGCCGGACACATCATGGCTCTGGGGAAGGCTCTCCCACTGCCCTTTGGTTGATTTGCTGTTTTCTAGAAGAAGGTCCATTCACACAGCACGGGATAGATCTTCCTCCAGCTGGCTGGGGCTGGAAGAGAAATCCTGTGCCAACAGTCAGGTGGGCCTGTAATGCTAAAGGACCTCTAAAAACCCCCAGCAGACGTTGCAGTTGCAGATCAGTTCACTGCACCTTGGACTGTCTGGCCCATGACTGTGCACAGCTCTCCCCCAGGGCACCCCAACTAGGCTCTGCACATGCTGTAGAGGCCCTTTGAAAATCTGACCCAGGAAGTGTTTCAACACCAAGCCTGCAACAGGCCTGACCCTCCCCCCTCCATTACTTCAACAAACTCTGCATTAGCCAGTTACTGTGAAAGCCACCTGTCTGCCTTTGGAGGAGGGGGCAATGGGCAGAATGACAGGTGAATGTTGCCCATTTTATCCAGTTCAGTTATGAAGAGGTGATTGGTTGGACCCAGCTCTCCTCTCGCTCATGCTGGGGTAATTTCACTGACATCAAAGTAAAACCAGTCAAAGTACGAGGATTATCAGGCCCACTAGGTGCGCACTCTTTAGTCCCTATGATCCAATTCTCAGGAGCACCATGGAGGTCTGTCCATCCGCTCCATCCCACTTTTCTCCCCCCCATCAGCTCCTCTGCCCTGCTACTTACCAGCTGGGTTGAGACTGGGACTGTCCCGCGGGGAGCTTTTCACCACCACTGCTGCCGTCACACTTTTCTGCTTCATGGCATGGAGCATTTCCACCAGTTTCTCTTTATCTGCAGGGTGGGAAGCTGAGATTTAGTGCAGCCTTTGCCCATTGGAGCAGAGAGAAGTAGGAAGATGCCGCAAGCAGACAGCACAAGGGCAGCTTTTGGCTTTGCAAGTGCACACATGGGAGATTAGTCTCACTGGAGTTACAGCACACAGACATGAACATGGCACTTGGCCAGCACGGGGCACAAAGGCAGCAAAGGAACAACAACTGATTTTGCAGTCGCTACAAATCAGAGCCTGCAATGGGCATTTTGCTGAACTAGTAGGAAGTCACTGCTTGTGCCCACGCAGCAGCATACGGCACTATCCATAATCCAGGTGGTGGTGGTGAGCACGGGGTTAAGGATGCTTCCTGTATCAGCTTAGCTGATCTATCCAAACCTGGCCTTGTGTGCTGGCTCCGGGGAGGGGGTGGCTGCTACTCTCTTGCAGCACTGGGCAGATTCCCACCAGGCTGCTGACGGGGTGCATGCCATGTCATGGGAGAGACGGCATTCATGTGTTTCGGCTCACAACTGGATTGCAAATTAAACATTCCTTTGGATGCCCATTTTTATCACACTAGCTGGGGCCGCCCCAGCACCAAAGGGTTTCATTCCTGGGCAGTGGAAAATGCCCTCATTTTGCTCACCACAACCAAAGCACAGATCAGGACCAGGGCGGGCTGGATCTACCAGAGAAGCAAAGCCCCTCTAACCAGCCTGCAGCAGAATGAAAACCTTGAAATCAAGAGTTGAGTGGGCATCTTCAACTCAAGACTAGTGTCACTTGTCCCAGAAGTTCAGGACCTGCCTTGCAGAGGTGCTGAGAACCTGCAGCTCCCCCTGACTAATGGAACTGGGGGTGCTCTGAAGATCAAACCCTAGGGGTGCTGTGTGTAGGGGTGGGGGTGGGGAGGGAAGTCACAGCACCATGAGGCAATGCGTCATCACAGGGCAAAAGACCATCACCATGTTGTGACTCACAAGTTCATGGAATTGAGACATTTCTCCTAGTGCTGCTCTAAAGCCCATGGCCACCAGCGTTGTGAGTTCCCCCTCCTTTCACTCATACCATAGTGACAGGGCTGTATATGTACCTAGAACCTCATCTGCAGAATCCAACACACCACATCCCTCCCCACTGGCCTGCATGGATCAAGCTGTACCTTTCCTTTTCTCTGCGCTGATGTGAGTCAGGTTGAAGATGGTCAGGAACCTCTTCTTCTCCTCGAAGTTGGGGCTGTTGTTCATTTCGTCCGGGCTGTAGCGCGTGGAGAGTGGGAGCCGCGGTGAGGGCGTCCGACGTTTGTTCTGGACTGTGGGAGGGGATGGACTCCTCTCCCTCAGCATCCTCCGCCTCTTCCTCCTCTTCTGAGTCAGCAGCTCCTCCTTCTGCTGCTGGGTGGTCAGGCCAAAAAGCTGCAGGAACTCCAATTTCTGGAGTTCGGCAATGGGAAGAGCCACATAAATGAGTCGTTTCAAAGCTCAGCGGGACTTTTCTTCAGCTGAACAGTGAAGAACCTGCTGCTGCCATGTTTCCCTGTCATATACGTCTCTCTAGCTAGCTAGGTTCATGGGGGTATAATTCCACATACACCACACTGCTTTCTGGGGACGCTTACGCAGTCTGGAAAGGAATCCATAATACTAAAACCAATGGCACGGGAAACCCAGCGTCTTTTAAACAGAGAATAAGCTGTTCCGTTCCTCCCAAACCACAGATGTATAAGCCATCCGGAAAGGGGACAGGATTGGTGGCCAACCTAAATGCTGAAGACAATTCAGCCTGTCAGCAGGGAGCATGGAAAGTGCACCACGGTGCTTGTTCAGATCAGAGAGCTACAGGCTAGCAGTCTAGACATGGGACTGGAAGGCAGACTTCCGAGCACTCCTCCTCCTGTTGTTGTTATTAAATATTTAGTATGGTAGGACCAAGGCCCCCAATCGGGATTGAGGCCCCATTGTGTTAGGTGCTGTATAGACACAGTAAAGAGACAACCCCTGCCCCGAAGGACTTGCAATTTGAAGACACAAACAGACTAAGGGTAAGGGAAGGTTATGGCTCGGACACTGTCTCTCTCTACGGCCCCGAGCAAGTCACTTTACCTCCCTGCCTCAGTTTCTCCATCTGCCCGATGGGGTAATAAATCCTCATTCCCCTGTCTCACACAGGTTAGTTAATGTTGGTGAAATGCTTTGAAGCTGATTAGTGCAGTGGGCTACACATTAATAGAGGCCCTCTTCCAAAGGCTGGCAACGGGCTAAGCCTCGGGTACAGTGAGGCGGTGAGAGGAGGATGATCCTACAGCCCCTTTTCCGAGCTGAGAAAACTCAGTCTCTCCTCTGCATCAACCCTCTGAAACCCCCTCACTGTATCTTTCCACCTCGCTCAGTCACCTTCCTTGTCTGAAAACACCCCTTCCATCCTTTCACTGGGCCCCTTCATTGTGGCTTGCCTCCTGCTGCTGCTACTTACTTATCTCTGCAGTGGGAAAGGTCTGAGAATCTATACAGCGCAAAGCCACAGTGTCCTCAATGGTACTCCTGGGCTAGAAACATACCATGGCTGTATCCTAGGCTGCTCTGCCCCATAATGCCCAGTGACCATATAGAGTCTGAGCTGGCTCAGGGCACCTCACCCATAGGACTGGCCACAAAGGCTCCAGAGTAACCTCAGCAGGATCAGACAGCTAGCATACCTCCGAGGAAGTATCCAGCTTCAGCGGGGGCTGCTCGGCAACGCACCGGAGATGGGCTCTCACTTCCTCCTCATCACTCTCGTCGTAGGAGTCATCCAGGTCATAGTAATAGCCTGTGCGTGAGAGACGCAAAGTGGGACGGTGAGGCCAAGAGGCGGGACAGACAGCTCCCTCCTTCCCCCCCCGCCCCCACTCGAGAGAACCCGTCAGAGCTCCATCAACTCAGACTTGGGTAGCTTGCGATGAATCCCAGCCAAGTGACACGCCGGGAGGGCACAGCAAGCAGGCCTGGAAGAATTGCCCAGCTCTAAGGGCTTGTGACTGGACAAAGGGCTCCCTGCAGGAACTGTTTTCAGCCTGCTGTGTAATTCACAGAAGTGGCTGGCTGTACCCTCAGGGGGCTGAAGGCCATGCCATGCAATAGGCCTACAAGTGCATTTCAGTCCGTCTCCCTGGGCCCATTACACAGGGAAAAGAACAGTCCAGGGCATGTGTGCATGTACCTACGTCACTACCTGAACCACACGGGGTGCCACGGTGACTGGCAGCAGTTTGGGTTGCAGCTATGATGCGTGGGGAATATATTCTCTCTACGTGCCAAATGTCTCAGAAAGCCTGCTTTTGAAATGTTTGAAAGAGGCTTTAAGCTATCACTGGTCCTTTATTCATAAGCCTCCACCTGGGAAGCGCAGCTGCTTTTAGTACCAGGAAGGCAAGTGGCCAGGATTTGGAGGCAAAAGTGGGGAATTATCACTAATAAACCTCTACAAGTTCACCACAAAATGGCTTTTCTCTCTGGAATAATAGCACATAAATGGCTGAAATCCTGGGACTGGTCACAGGCTAGCAGAATGTGCTGTGGGTCCCAGTGGAAAGCTGGGAAGTCCCCTTCCCAATGGGATAAAGCTCCCATTTCTAGTCTTGATGAGTGGAGAATTGGGGAGTTCTCAGACCGCTATTGGCTCAGGGCTTGGCGATCCTGGGGCTTGGTCCTTTTGGGTTTGGAGTGGGAGGAGAAGAGATAATTTCCCAGGTTGTTGATGGGTTTGTTTTTCATATAAATGCAGCTGTCTGAGGCTGCTCAGTAGTTTGACACATTACAAATAATCCCATGGGAGGGGGATTCATGATTAGAGACACAATTTATTACAACCAACGGCATGTGCAACTACCATGATTGTGCACTGGTCATTTGGATGTACAGTCATGGTAACTGAATAGGCAGAATAGGCATGTGTGTCTGTGTGCTTAGATAGGCTTGCGTGTGTGATCATATTAGCTGATCTTTCAAGATTATTCCCCGCCGATAGAGGAACTCAAACTAAACTGACACCCCACACTTGAGCAATCCACTGGGAGCCGATATTGATCTGCAGCTGAGATCAGAATCCCTGCACACGAGGAGGAGCTCCCCTGAAGCCAATGGCCTTCCCCTGTGTGCTCTGAAGCTGCCAGCTCCCCACTGTGGCTGACAAGCCCATGCCCCTCCCGCAAGCATTCGGAGTCACGTGTAGAATTTGCGACACATTGGGTCTGCAGCATCAACAGTTGTTCAGATTAAACATCTGAACCTTGCCGATCTGTAACTGCTCCCTGCCTGTCACAAGAAAGCAGCTTCTTGGAGATGCCCAGCCAGGTCAGTGAGGAGTTCAGGCCCCGCTGAATAGCCTCAAATAAGGATGTCCTCCTGGGTACATGGAAGCCATGAACTACCAGGCAGCCTTCTGCAGGGAGGGGGTGGAGTGGTGTGTCTCATTTTTATGGCAGAAGCATCTGTGCACTGCAGGAGTGACCAGCGTGCCACCCTGGCATAGTACCCAACATTGCAGGAGACATGGCTCACATGCACGGCAGTGTAGCAGCCTATTGTGCCGTCAGCTGCTTCCACTAGCTCCAAAGAGTTAATGGGCAGAGGCAGGAGGTGGGCCAAGTGCGAAGCAGAAATAACAGAACGTTTGGTGCCAAAAGGGAATAGAAGAGAACTGCAGCATGCCGGCGAGCCAAGAGCCAGCCATCTGAGACACAGCATGTGTCAGCAGCAGAGACAGCAGCAGCCCAGAGAATGACTGTGTAGCTCCCATGCCCCAAATCCCCCTCTCCCCACCACAGAGCAGTCTCCTCCCTCTGTTCCCATCCCTGCTTGTACAGTCCTATTAATATTTAAAGCCATCTTATTAGCCTCAGTTCATCATTTATTAATTGGGCATGTCTGCAGCGGAGGATGTACAGAGCTGCTCTGATTTGGCTTTCAGCGTGATTTGCATAGGCAGTGGGGACAGCAGTGTGGTCTGTCTGCTCGGCAGAGGTGTCAATTAGCTCCCTGGAAGACATACGACCCTACTACCAGGGCTTGTTCAGAATCAAAGGCGTTATTGTCCTTATTTAATTGTCTTGGACAACACACACACACTCTCTCTCTCTCCCCTCCCCCCCATGGAAGAGACAATGTTGCTGCTGCTTTACTGTGTTTGGAGCAGGATTCACAGCCCTGAAAACTTCAGTCCTCTCTTCATCTCCAGAGCAGGGCCAATGGCCGTGCTGCCCGGCCAATGCATTTGGCCCGTCTCAGAGGAACCCCCTCTAATGAACACGGCCCATTCAATCTTTGTCTTTCACATGGACACAGACAGGGGTGCCAGTGAGAGCCAGCCATGGTGGTGGGTGAGTGAGAGAGACAAGAGACTTGTTCAACAGGAATTGGACTAAGATATCCCCATCCTGAATAATTTCACGCAGGCCACTGATCAGCCATCAGATGGTCACAACTTTCATCCCCTGCTGACCCCAGCTGGGTTTGAGCCTTTGCTCTAGAGGTTAAGGGCTCTGCAGCTCATTTCCAATCTTCTGATCTGTCCAGTTCCCCCTGCCCAAAGCTACAGCCCTTTAGCACTGCTTCAGTTTGTTTCTATTCTCAGAGCTTGTCTACACAGGACGTTACTGTGCGACGAGCCAGGGTTTGAATCTACCGTCCAGGAGTGCGCTTTGGCTACTACTGTTTGTAAAGTGTCGCAAGTCAAAGCACTCTCCCGGCCTGTTTGTGCCCTGTAGCACAGGGTGTTATGGCACAGCAAGCTACTGTGCTGTAGATTCACACCCTGGCTCACAGCGCAGTAGCATCCTGTGTAGACAAGCCCTCGGTGAGATGTCATGTTCGGCGCTACTGCGGCACTGTGGCCGGAAGGGACTCCTCAATGCAGGCACTCACCTTTCTCCCTGGCTTCTCTCCGCCTCCGCTCCTCCAGGTCCAGTTTACTGACTAGTTTACGGTGTTGCTGCAGGAACTCATCGTAAACGTACATGGGGTCGTGGGCCCTGGGCAGCGGGTGCCGGTAAGGTGAGCTAGGCTTGCTGGGCAGGCTGACCTCAGCAAACTGCCCCGGCTGGGAGAGCGATGCCCTCTGTTGGTTAAGGATGGTCTGTGTGGACTTTTCCAGTTCTGCCAGGAAGGGCCCATGGGAGAACCCACCATGTTCCGACGCCCCAGGCTCCCTGGCAGGCTGGTATTTGTCCAGTGTCTCTCTCTTTCTGGCCCCTTCGTCCAGCTTCTCGGGGCAGTATACTCGTTCCACCTTCACCAAGGGGATGGCTTGTCGGCTGGGCTCGTACTGGGCAGGGTGGGCATGGAGAGAGTGATTCTCCTGGATCCTGCGCGGCTCCATGTTGTTCTCCAGCAAGGACACAGGGTTCCAGAGCGAGGTGGGCACTGGGTGATGCTGAGGTTTGGGAGAGATGAGCGGAGGGGGCCCTCCAAAGTGCTGTGGTTGGTCTCGGCCACTTGGCTCATGGCGGTTTGGTCCTGATCTGCGGAAACAAGAGACCCACAATAAGTTAGAGAGGTGTCAGCAGGATCCTAGAAGCCACAATTTTGGTGCCACTGGGGGACACTTGAATAAGAGGAGTGCCTAGCAGTCATGCCCTGCCACTGTCACCCAAAGCAGACCTCGCAAAAGGAAGCTGCTCCCCTGCTGCTCATCTGCATCCTTTCACATTGCTCCTGGGGGGAGAGAGGCTCCCATTCAGTAAAGGGTCTATGTGAGCAAGTGCATTTCAGGGCCCGCTGACACCAGCATTGGGAGCCCCTACGCAACACCAGCAACAGGGGAGCTTCACGCTCATTTCTGAACTTTACCAGAAACATTCAGCTTTCGTTTGGTTTTAAGGGCCAGATCATCAAAAAAGATAGGTGCAAAAATGCATGTGCAATTCCTCACCTCATCTACGCAAGCAACTGCCACATCAGTACAGCCACACAGGGTGATTGCATTGCTGGCCTTTTTAACGCATCTGTCGGCATTGGTCACCCAGTTGGCACCCCCCCCCAGTGGGAACGATGGGCACATTTGCACACTCAGCTTTGATAAATGCAGACTTAAGAGCTCTTTAGAGTGGTGTGATTTCTCCAGGTGAGGAAACCATACCACGTGACCTGTAAGGACTAAGGCTATGGCTACACTTGCAGATGTAGAGCGCGGGGAGTTAAACCAGCCCTTGGAGACTGCAACAGGGAAAAGCGCTGCCATGTGTTCACACTGTCAGCTGCAAGCGCAGGGGCATGGCCACATTAGCAGCTCTTGCAATGCCACAGAGAGCAGTGCATTGTGGTAACTATCCCAGTGTGCAAGTGGCTACAGCGTGCTTTTCAAATGGGGTCGGGGAGCGTGACAGGGAGTGTGTTATGTGTATGTGAGGGGAGAGAGAGTGTGTTTTGGGGGGCAGAGAGTGTGTCAGCATGCTGTCTTGTAAGTTCAGACAGTGGCGAGGGAAGGGGGAAACCCTGACATCAGCCCACACACACCCACCTCTGCAACAGCAGCATTCCACAGTAATGGTTTGCTTTGTCCCGGAGAAGATAAGCATGCCAGCTGTCAGAAACGGAGCTTTGAAAGGGGATAGTCACATGCCTGCGGCCCAGTTCAAAACAATGACCGGAGTGGCCACTTGACTTCAGGACTTTACAGAGGCCAATCACAGCGCAGTAATGCAACACGTCGTCCACACTGACACCCCGACGTTTCAGCCAGGGCGCAGCAAGGTGAAGGTGGATTACCAGGGACGCTCCAGCCGCGGAGTCCAGGCGCTCTAAGTGCCTTACCAGTGTGGACACCTCAGGAGTTAGGGCGCTCTAACTTGCAAGTGTAGCCAAGCCAAGCCCTAGGACACATCTTGGGCCTCCCAGGGGAATAGCCAAGAGATGGCACAGGAAAAAAGGTATTCAGATTATGAAGGCATTTAACTCTGGGATGGAAGAAAAATTCCCTGCTAAACTGCATCTTCAAGGCTTGATAACCAGATAAAGGGCCTTCAGACTGCCTCTGAATGCAACTGGCACGACATCTAGTGGTCATTTAGTTAACTGCAGTGGATAATACACAACTGTGGAAGGCATTCACGTTATAATTAGTGGAGATATCCCATCTCCTAGAACTGGAAGGGACCTTGAAAGGTCATCGAGTCCAGCCCCCTGCCTTCACTAGCAGGACCAAGTACTGATTTTTGCCCCAGATCCCCAAGTGGCCCCCTCAAGGATTGAACTCACAACCCTGGGTTTAGCAGGCCAATGCTCAAACCACTGAGCTATCCCTCCCCCCTAATGCATAAACCTATTCCATTATCAGCTGTTGCAGGATGCGATTACAGAATTAAAGACTGCGTGGCAATGCATAAGTGAACCTGGGAAGAACTGAGATGGCACAGTTACCCTTAATGCCTACATAATTTGGGGAGTATTTAACATGTAACCAGTTCGTCAGGAATCAAGTTACTCTCTTTCTGATGCATAAGCTTTAGTCTGAATTTTGCCCCCTTTTTGGGTTAATGAATCATTTGCAAACCGATCTGGAGTCTCCCTCAATGGCTTTGTTATTTAGAAGCATTTGATAAGCAACTGGCCTAAAAACCAAAGTTGTGACTCAAGGCTGTTTGCAAACAATTCATGGTTCGTTATTGGTCATCTAAGTCATAGGATATGGTATTTTCTTGCCCAGATTGGACAGGCTTTCTGGTTCTTAAACACCTGGCTAAAAACTCTCGGATTCACAAACATTTCCCCAAATACCTGCTGGTCAAGTCCATGGTTAACATTGAAGCTCGGCATTTTTCATCAATTGCTTGTTTAGCTATTTGACCCACCCTAGTTGTCAATTCCCCTATAGATATCTTACTTCCAGCCCAAGGCTCTGATCATGCCTCTTGATTGTTGTGGGTGCACTGCTGTGCTCGCATGGAGCGCTGTTCAGTGGGGATCTGCACAGAAGCAGCAGTTTACCTGCGTGGGTCCCAATGCAGGACCCAAGGGGGTAAATCTACTTTTTAGCCATCTACAAACTACCAGATACAGCCTCTGCCCAGATTCTGCTAAATAAAGGCGAGGAGATGGGGCATGGCACTCAGCGCTCTAGAAGCACAAAGGGAACGACACCGTGAAACCCTTCTTAAGTAACCGGCAAAGGAATAAAACTGTTAGCAGAATAAATATTTCATGCGCTGAAGCTGTGCATTTAACAGTTTTCCACTTCAGAGCCCCGGACCTCCGTGCACTGAAGCATCAAGTTCAGATCAGCGCTACAATTTATAGCGCAGCTGCCATGGAGCTGTGGAAAGCAGAGGTACAGACACCCACAGTGAGCAGGAGACGAGCCTCTTCCACTTCCTACCTAGAGTGCTTTCCTCCTGCCAGCATGCATGAGCTCTATAGGCCTGTCTAGTATAGATCGATCCTGTCCTAGCTACAGAGCTCTGGAGAAATTGGCCCATGTCACAGCAGCCTGCTTGTTTAATAGACCTTTAAGAAGGCAGGGAAGCAATGCGCATTCAATTCGACATGGCAAGGTAGCAGGGCTTCTTATTCAGTCATGATGGACGTTAACTGGCTCGACTGACATCTCAATTGTCAAGCATGAGTGAGTCCTCTTCGAGGGAGACGCAGCACCTCTGCTGAGCAAGGCAGATTAGCGCCCACACGCTTCCTTGTGGCCGCTCCCAATGCAAGCCTCCCCACCCAGCCAGCCTGCACTTGGGGAGGGGTGGAGGGTGAAGGCGCCCCCAGCCCCCACATTCTGGTCCATGTAGTGGAGGTGACCTTGAGCTACTTGCTTGGGTTTGGGGAGGGATGAGAACGTGGAAGTGGAGAGTGAAATGAGACTTTACCATTGTGCAGCCCTGCAATCCGCTCCCTATTATACCTGATTAGTTTAGCTAATCCCCTTGATACCCAAAAATGACAATGGAATCCAGTGGCAGAGATGACTGGATGAGCCAGCAGCGCTTAAGTGCTCAGCCACAGAGCAAGAAAGCCAGCATCAATCAGCCCCAAGGTGGCAGGGTTAGAGAGAGGGGCAGTCACATCAGGAGGCGTCAAAGGAGGCCGCGTGCTGCTCTTGCCCCACTGACCCCTTGTAATTTGCTGACCTGCTCCCAACGCCGAGGGCTGACGTGGCGCTGCAAGGTAAGAGAGGGGTGCTGCGCAGCAGGGCTAGGCTGGCATGCAGCTTGCAGGGGGCTGGCCGGGATTCCTGGCTGATCAGGAAGGCAGGCTACCATACTGAACTCCCCACTGCACCCAGGGCTCAGCTGGCGCCTGACAGATGGAAGCGCTGATGGAGCACTCGGACCTGGAAAGAATCTGGACTCGTCCTCTCATTAAATAACAAGGAGATTTTGCCCCTGTATTTACTGGGACTAAAGGTAGATGCTGGTGAATGGTGCCACACTGACAGCCCTGCAGCCCCAGAACAGGTCCGAGGCGGGGCAGCAGCGCATGCTGCTTCCTCCTGCCCTACCAGGGTGCCTGACGCCTAATCTTGGAGGAGCTGCCCCTCAGGGGTGCCGTGGCTCGCTTCCCCTGCAGTCTGAGTGTTTTCATACTGCCAGCCAGGGTAGCAATTAGCAACATCTAGTCACTAGCAACTGGCCTGAGGTCACCAGACTTATCTCACGCAGGCCACTGAGCAGCTGTCAGGAGATATTAAATTGCGGTCACTGCCAGCACAGACCAGATTGGAACCAGTGACCTAAAGGGGAAAGACTCTTTAACCCATTGCCCACTCCTCTGAGCCAGCCCGGCCCTACGAGAAAGGGGCTCAGCCAGCCTTTTGTGGTAGCCCAGCTGCTCAGACGCAGCACGGAGCCCTCTTAGGTGGACTCAAGCAAAGCCGAGCGCTTCCGGCCTAGTCAGCAGTTGCCTCCTGAATCACACAAGCCAGGCCTGGCTGCTCTGCTCCTCCGATTCCTGAACTCCAGAGAGTCCCTGTCCATCCCAGCGCTGGAGTCAGCCCTTACCTGGGGTTCTCCGGCCGGTGCTCAGCTTCCGGCTGGTTCGGCGGCCGCCCGATCTCCAGGTGCTGCTCCAGCACTTGCTGCCGGAACTCCGACACCTGGGACTGGCGGTCCTCCTTCTCCTGCCGCAGCCGACGCTGGCGCGCCAGCCACTTCTCCTCCTCGTTGGTGCGCTGGATGAGAAGAGCTGTGGCTGCGCTGCTCCCGGGGAGGGGGAAGACGCTGTGGCTGGAAATGAGGCTGGGCACGGGATGGTGGGAGGCGGGCGGCTGGTGCAAGGGGTGCTGGACGGGCTTAGGAGTTGGGATGGTCGTGTCCTTGGGTTTCTCTGCAGGAGGAAGAGGACGCACTGCAGTCAGGGAGAACTGTCGTCTACTCTCAGCCCAGCCAATCAGTTTGCAGATGATAGGTGGGCAACTAGGTGCAGTGTTCATTACATGAGGCAGAGCAATGGGAACGGCCCCCAGAACTCATCCCCACTGGAAACCCAGCACAGATACTAATGAGAGTCCGACTAACGTGCAATGACAGCCAGGACTGGCAGCTGCAAGATCTAGGCTTTAGCCTTGACCTCACCACAGGCTTCCCGTGGGATCTCAGTTAATACCCCTTCCTGCCTCACCTGGGGGTTGGGAGGCTAAATTCACCTGTCTGTGGCATTTCAAGGATGGAGGGGGGCTGGAGAAGGACAAAGTTTTGGTACGTCACTAGCGTCGGGAAGCTGCCGGGGGCAAGCCTACCCCATCCTGTAGTCACGAGCAGCCCGTCTGCCCAGAAGGCAATCGGAAGGAACCGAGAGGAACCCAGTGGCAGTCATTTGGGTTGGGGCAAAATCCTGGAGCACGGCCTGATTTGTGACTCCCTATTGGCTGGGCTGAGTCTTGCTGTGAGCTTCCAGGTGAACTCAATGCAAAATCCCAGGGCTGCGAGTCTCACAGAAGACCCAGACGAAGGACAGGCCCCTGGGAAGTTACCAGTGGGGCCTGGCTCAGCTGTGCCTGGGAGAGCAGCCAGCCCGGAGTGCGGCATGTGGGGGGAATTACCTGGTCTGTTTGGCGTCAGCTGCTCGGCTGGTTTCACACGCTCCTCCGCCGGATGGCTCCTCAGCCCGTGCAGCTCTGCCACTGGCAGAAATGGGCTCTCCATGGCTTTGGCCAGGTTCATCTCCTTCTCCCGGGCCCTTTCTCGTTGTCTCTCCAGCTCTCTCTCCCGCTCCCTCTCCTTCTCCCGCTCCCGCTCAAGCTCCTTCTCCCGCTCTCTCTCCCGCTCGCGCTCCTTCTCCCGCTCCCGGTCGGCTTCCCGCTCCCGCTCCTTCTCGCGCTCCCTCTCGCGTTCCCTCTCGCGCTGCCTCAGCTCCTCGTCCATCTGCAGCCTGAAATCACCAACAGAACAGCAAAGTTAGCATCTCCACGGGCCTCCCCATCCTCCCGCCCCAGGGGCTGCGCATGACACGGGACATGGAGCCCTTTACCTCTCCGCAGTCAGACTGGACATCCGCTCGGACTGAAGGGCAGAGAGCGACGAGTGGGGCAGCTCGGTGGGGTACCTCACTCCCGACAGATGGAGGTGCATGGCTGAAGGATGAAGAGGTGGGAGCGAACCCGGGGTTGGGATCGGGTAGAAGGGGGACCGCAGGGCCGAAAGGCAGTAGGATTCATCCATCCTGGAGAGAGAGAACGGGTCAGGTTGAAAAGCTGCACAGCTCCCCTATCCAGCTGGCGGCAGAGGCCAGGAGTGTGTGGCTACTGAAGGGAAAGCACCTGCTGTGGGAGAAGTGACTTCATGTCTATGGCAGACTCTTGTCAATCCCCCAGGGATGGGAGTCCCAGCCTGACTCTACCACTACAAACCGCCCGGCAGCTCCTCAGAGGCCTCTCCCAGTTCGGGTTCAGGCCGGCTCCCATCACTGCCCCTCTCCCGACCTTCCACAAGCCTGCCTGTGGAGAGCCACGGCTCCATGCCAAAGGAACTGCACGGTACGAGCGCCAGACGGGCCCTCGGGCTCTGGGGAGAAGCTAAACCCAGCCAGCTTAGCAAGAGATTTCCCAGCATCCTTTGCCTGCAAGGGGGATCTGGGCTCTGTGCTGATCGTTCCTTTCTCTCTGGTGAGGGGATAATGCAAGGGGCTTCGGCACTGCTCCCAGCAGCGGAGCAGATACAAGCCTGCCGGGAAGGGTTCACACTCAAGGAGCTAGTTATCAGCCCCGCCGCAGGAATCTCCGCTGCTGTGGTAAATGACCTCCCTGGAATGCCTTATTACCATTGTACTGAAGCACCCGGGGAACCATCAATTGTGGATAAAGTGTACTTATTTCTGTGTGGCTTCCAAAGCCGACGCGCGGGTAATTGATTGCACTGCTCTGCCTCAATCCACGGCCCCCGCAAGGTTTGGTGAGCAGCCGCTGTCGGCTGGACGCGTGGAGAAAAACAATCGCTGCCCAGCCCCGAGCAGTCCCTCTCTCCCCTGGCCTCTGATGCTTACCTGAAGGCTGGGTGAGGGAAGGGGTGGTGGGCCAGGTAGCCGGGGTGGTAGTAAGCGGCGGCGGTGGCCGGATCCAGGCTGATGGGCGGCAGGGAGGACATACGGAGTTCCTCAGCAGTGTGGTAGGGCCGGAAGCTCCGCAGGTAATCTTCCGTGACCGCGCTGGGAGGCACCACATGGTGTACAGGCCGCTGCAGGCTGCTGGCGGGGAGGGATGGAGGGAGTGTCAGTGACCTTCCCAGTCCAGGAGATTCGCAAGCCTCTGGATGGCCTCATCAGCTTGGATCTAGGGAGGGGACCGGGCTCCCAATGCAGAGCCCGGAGAAGGGGCAACTCCTACTGAGATGCTGGTGGCTGAGCATAGGAAGTCACTGCAAAGGCAGAGCCACAATCCACTCTGTGCCGGCCGTACCCTACCAGGCTCGCTACCTTCCAACACCTGCGTCCCCTGGCGGGGCACTTCACCTCCAGGGGCCTGGCCATCCCCAAGCCATGCTGTCCGAAGTTAACACAGCAGAATGCAACCCACCCAGTCACCCTCTGCTCAGTGAGAGTCGGCCACAGGCAGAGGGAGGAAGGCAGCTGCCTGGGAATGGTGGGGCAGTTTGAGTGGAATGCTGCCCCCCACTGGTGAGAGCTGTCAGCGCAGCACCTTTAGCTGGCAGAGGTCATTCCAGGGAGCAGCCACCATCCCTCAGGGTTTAGATCTCCCCAGTGAAATGTAACCCAGCACATTTGCCATACAGTCCTTCAAGGCAGTGCATGAAAGTCTTAGGTCTGTGCTGCTGGAGATCTGGGTTGGGAAGGAGCACTGGTGACACACCCAGCATTGGTGTTTGGAATGCTGGTTTCCAAAGCAGTTTGTTTTAATTACACGTGGTCCTGCCCAAAACCGCAGAGCTGCCTCCCAGCTCCCCCAGTCCTTGGAGACACTTGGGGCCAGTCCTGGCCTTGAACTCTGCAGCTCAGGCCCACCTTTGGTTTGAATTTGTCGCCTGCTCCTGGGTTGGTTGGTTTGAGGTTTTGAAATGTACAGGGAGAAAGATGTATTCAGAGTTGTGGTTTGGGTTTGTGTTGGAAGAACCCCGGCTGGGACAGATGAGAGCGTTGCACAAAAACCGCATGGCTCAAGGCAACGTCTGTGATGAGCTTCTAAGCCACAGAACACATGTCGTGGAACTTGGTGGGAGAGGAAAGGGCAAGTATTACAATGGACCCTGTCCTAGGTGAGCCACTCCAGGGACCAGCAGAAGCCAGGTGGAGCCAGCCTGTGGTTGCAGATCTCGCTGTGTTCCTCGGTTACTTCTATCTGCGCTATTTCAGGAGCTAAACAAACCAAACACCCACCTACAGGATGGCCTGCTCTCCAGGGCTGTAGAATTCTTTGGGGAACCCCAGAGAAAACAGCCACAAAGGAACTCAGCCTGGAAAAGGGCAGGCAGACACCAGGCTCTGAGAAGCAATACCAGGCCACCACGCTGCGGCATGTGTCAGAGCTGGCAGCACACGAGTGAACCCGACACTGCAGGAGGCTGATGCCGCGGATCCTGCTCCCGGGGACGTGACTCACTTTAAAGGCGGGAAGCGGGAATCCTGGACGACGGAGGTGGGGGGGATCCCGAAGGAGTAAGGCGTCCCGAGGAGGTGAGAAGGGACAGCGGGACCCCCGGCTTTCTCCTGTGGGAGTGGAGGCTCGGCGATCAGGCGCTCCCGGCTGCTGCTGCCTCTCGATCCTGCTTCTTGCTACAAGAAAACAAACGACCACCCCACCCTGAGTGTCAGGGAAAAACTTTCCGGGGGGGCAGGAAGCAGATGCATCTGGCCAGGAGCTAGCTCAGTGCTCCCTGCCCAACTGGGAGTCGCAGGGTCTCTCTGCTGAGGAACAGATCCCCAGCAACGGGCCTCCTGGAGGAGTCTGTCCCATCCTGCCCTGCAGTCAGACTTACTGGAGGCTCCCTGGGCTGTAATCTAGGGAACTGCTCAGGCCAGACTCCCACTGACTGCCTTTATCCCATCCTTTGGGAGCGGCAGCATGAGGGTGGAGGGAACTGCCAAGGCCGGGTCACTCTGGCTCTTTGCTAGGCGAGCCCAGCGATTTTTTATCTGAAGCGCCTAGATCCAGGGAGAAGTGCTTCAGCTCAATAAACCCACCCGTGGCCCTGATCTTCAGGAGGGCTGAGCGCACGCAGATCCCCCTGACTTACAAGTGACTCTGCAAGTGCCCCTCAGCTCGGAAAACCAGCGGGTGGAAAAGGAGATGGAAATGCTTCAGGAGCTGACACGATGAGAATGTTGCCAGAGGGCGAACAGAGGAAGGATTTCAGGACTGCACATGTGCACACACTTATATACACACACTCGCTTCCAAACCTTTCCAAAGTTTTAAATAATGTAAGAAAAATAAAATCAGGAGGGTTTGGAAACAGCTGGTGGTAACCACCATCCCTACTGGGCTGAGAACGCACAGACCCGCGGACACGCTGAAAAGACAATATGTCTAAGCTCCAGGGGAGATGGGAGCGATCCGCATGGGGCCCTCCTTCGCACGCACGCCAGCGATCATTCCTGGAGTAAGGCTGGCATCTATTCTGGCACCACTGACACAGAGAGCGAGAGGGGACATTAGGAAGCTGGCATTCCTGCCAGGATAGGGCAGGCTGGTCTGTAACCAGCAGTTCCCCTAAGTGGCCCTGATATCAGCTGCGAAGGCAGCTGCTTGCCTGTGCTGTCACAGCTATTCCGGCAGCACCGACGCACACGTGAAAATAAGGGAAGGAGGCACTGGGGCTGCTGTTGCCACCACAGCCTTTCCTCCCTTCCCTGGTAGGGCTGCATGGCCCAGGGAGCGCCCACATGCTGCATGTTCTCCGCAATCTTTGAGGGCCTGGTAGGGGAGAAACTACTGGAGGAAAATGGAGCTCTGTAAGGGCAGGTGGGCCCAGAACCCACTTCTGTACTGAGCTGTGGGGCTAACCCTGCCCCCCAGCCTCCACTGCTGCAGAACCCCTTGGGCAGGGGCTCTCTTGCCCTCTCTGCGGCCTCGGAACGGCACTGCTCCCAGGGCCGCAGCCCAGGCTGGCTCTCAGAAGAGCTAAGGAAAGAACCTGGGGAGAGGGAAGGGAAGCAGGAAGAAGAGAGGTGAAGGGAGGGAGAATACAGCCAATGCGTTTGGAAGCTGCCAGATAGCACCTAGATTGACAGCAAACCCGTCGGGGGAATGTTTAAACCAAAATGAAGGGGAAAAGCTCCTTTCACTGAAATCATGCCAATAAGAAGCGGCTCTGCAGCGCTGGACACGGCACAAAACATCCTAACCCCCGGGGGCAGGGAGCGTTGGTCTGTTCTGTGTTTGTACAGCATCTAGCACATTGAAGCCACGAGCCACAACTGGGGGTCCTAGCAGCTATACAACCCTGCTGTGACGAGCCCATGCTCCAAACTGCTGAAACGTGGAAGGAGAAAGTGAGGCACAAAGAGGGACCCGCCCAAGCAGCAGAGTTGGGAATTCAGCGCAGGTCTCCTGAGTGTCAGGCCATTGCCCTAACTACTGCACGCACTGGGCCCCCAGGCCAAAGGACGGAGCCTGTCCTCTTAACAAGCTTCCTGCCGGCAGGGTGGACAATGCAGGAAGCCCATACACCTTATAACGCACCATCGGGTGATCAAATATTAACCACCTCATGGGCTTTTCTGGCTGACAGGCCTTGTTCGATGGGCTACTCCTTGTTTGGATTTGGAAGGAAATCCCATTCTGTGAACCGTTTCCCCTCCCGAGGGGCTGCCACGCTCCAGCGCTGGCTCCCGGCCACCGAGCGCTGACCCAGCGCGGCTCCCGGCCGAGAACATGCAATATTAAATGTCAGCAATGTTATTTTTGCCGAGCCCGCATGTTGCTCAGGCCCGTTTAACGTGCGTTGCCCCTGGCGGGGAGCCAAGCAGCGCTCTCCGGCTCTCCCCGGCCCCTTGAAAGGGATAAAACCCTTCTAATGGCTCTGCGGGAGCGGACGCTCAGCGGTACCCTGGATGTGTGCTGAGGCGGAAAAGCAGTTCAGAGATGTCAAAAGAAGTCAAAATCAGAGTTCAAGTGCCTCCCTGGCCCCTCCCGGTGCTGGGTCTTCTGAGCATTTCCGGAGCTGCTTCATAAAGAAACACAGGCCAACCACCATTCCCACCAGCCCTTTCACTGGGGGCTCAGACAACTGCCCTGCTCCAGAAAGGAAACAGTTAACACCGCCATCAAAGCCTTAACCCTCTCCTTGCCGAGAGTCCTGGAGTCCTTTCCCCAGTCGCTGGGGAAACACTGACACACTGAATTGCCAAGGGATCCCAAGACAAACTCAGCCTCTTCAGAGCACTCTGTTAAGTCATTCATCCTGTTAACCCCTTCCTGCCCAGGACTAGACACCAGTCTGCTTTTGAAAACAAGGCATACGGTTTTAACAGTGAGGGTAATTAACCAGGTTCCCAAGGGCCGTGGTGGAGTCCCCATCACTGGCCATTTTAAAATCGAGATGGGATGTTTCTTCTAAAAGCTCAGCTCTAGGAATGATTTAGGGGTGGGTCTCTCACCTGTGCTGTGCAGGGGTGATCACAAGGGTCCCTCCTGGCCTTGCAATCTAGGACTCTAAGAGACAGTGAGCTCCTTCCCCTGCAGGACGAGACCTGGGAGTCTCCACCTACCTCTTTCCCGCCAGCTGCTCTAAGGATTTCTCACCGTGTGCAGGGAGACCATTCTGTTTGCAATGGCTTACTGCAGCTGTGGACAGTTTATAACCCAATGGGCTACCAAGGACAATACAATGACTGTAGCCCACATGTATTATTGGGTAAAGGGATTCTCAGCTGGACTCGAATTTTTTTTACACCATCAGGTGGGGTTGCCCTGCCATCTTTGGGACCCTATGATGTGGTCACAGCAGCACCCAACGTTGGTACTGGACTGCTAAGTACTTTGGTGGCCCTTTGGCCATCACGGTGTTCCTCTCCCTTGTCCTGCTTCACTTAAACAACCCTGCTGTTTTGAGGAGTCCTGCTCAGTCAGGCCTTTGTTGTGCTGCAGATTTCCCCCTCTCCAAACATGGCTTTCGCCCAGCTCTTACATGGGATGCCAACGAGACTCCATGCAAACCCCTTTGCTCGGGGACCTTCGGCTCTGACAGCACATCCTTCATGCACTGCAGGGAGCCGGTACCAAGGACCGGCAGCCAGATGGACAGTAGTCAGGGGCTTTTAGAGCTCCAGCAAACCTGTCTTGGAGACAGACGTGGGCTACTCATTTCCTAAACCGTGATTTTGAAAAAAAGGACGGTAACAGTCATGGAGGGGAAAAGAAAGAAACCGCATGGCAGAACAGAGTGAACGATCTGTGAGAGGGAGGGCTATGGACTGGCTGTGGGGGGAGTGGAGGGTGCTAGTGGGGACCATTCCAGCCAATGCCACAGGTCCTGCAAGGTGAATAGCGCCTCCTGCAGGCTGCTTTCAGCTCTTGGGGAAGTCAACAGGAACGGAGCTGAGCGCTACGTGGGTACCAGCTCCCCAACCATTCCTGTGGGCTTGGTGCTGTGCAACATGGCGGCAGTCCATGCATCCAGCTGACCACGGACCTTGCCTGTATGCTGGAGGTGCTCAGTCGCTCTCTAAGCTTCTCCTGCCCTCACTCCAGACGCACATCATCCTGCAGGAGAAGGCACTTTGATACAGGAGCCAGCCGTTCCTCCTGTCTGGAATTTATCTCCCAGGGAGACAGAGGGAGCATTGTTTTGCATAGTCTGCCCTTCTTACGGAGGCCCATCCATCTTCATATCCCCAGATAGTGACATCTTGGAACACACAGCGGATAAGATTTAAACAGCACTGGGCCAGGCTGTGCCGCACCATCAGGGGAACTGCCTTCATCAGTCAAGTGTATTTACTAAACACCACCACAGCACACACTCCGCGAGCAGCTGATGGCTCCTCAAGACTTCATAATCTCTTCAGAAGACACATCGGCCATAATTAATTGAAAGAGATGGGACCCGCTGATGGGAATTTTTAATGAGCAGGAACATCTGTTCACTCTCTGCGCCTTGTAGGCACCCAGACCCCCACGTTTGGCCTCTTTCGTGCCCAGTGGGCCACCTCTGACCTTCTCCAGAAGGCGCGTTCCTGGGATAATGATATGACTGGACAGGAGGGGTCAGGGCGACTCGACTGGAACAAAACACGTACGCCGCGGGGCTGGAGAGGACGGACCATATGGAGCGGCCGCCCTTGCCTTTCGCAGGCAGGGGGCGAGGGCATCGGGGAGATGAACATGGGCCAAAGGGTGACCTCGGTGCAATGCCACCGACAACACCCCAGCAACTCTGGGCCTCTCTGAGAAAGGCCCAGATCTGGATGAGCAGGAAGGGGCCCACAACGGGGTGTGTGTCTGTGTGTAGCTCCCTTCCCATCAAACCCGGGGTTGAGATAAGGCAGGCGAGCGAGTGGGAGGGAGGAGAGCTAGCAGCAGGCCCACATTTCACCTGCCTTTAGATTTACAGGCAGCTTTGTTCTCCAGCACCATTAATCATCCAGGGAGGATACAGACGCCTATGGAGCTTGAAACAGCACAGCAAGTATAAATCCAGCAGGCCTTTGATAATGGCCATAAAACAAACAGGTTAGTCAGGCATTGCATGGAGGGGCCCAGGAAAGCGAGCCCTGCGGACAGGCCACCATCGGCACACCCCTCCCAGGCAGCAGGCGCCCCCGGCTCATCCGTTTATAATGAAATGATGATTTTTGTTCCTAATACAGGACTAAGGTCATCTCCTTAGATCAAAACCCGGTCAGTGCATTGGGGAGTCTGAAGGAGGGGATCAGTGACAGCAGGGCAGGGCCAGAGAGGGAGGGAGAAGGGAAAACTCCCGCCCAGCCTATCGCGCCTGTCAGAACAAACCCGTCACTCCCCTCTCCGTGTCACCGGGCAGTACTGACCCGAGAGGAAGGACACAGATTGTACACCCGGCCTACCCTTAGCAATAATCCATTCAGAAACAAACAGGAGCTCAGCCAGGCAGAGAGCCAGGGGAAACAGTGGGTGCCCAGGGGATAGGATCTGGGGTGCCAGCTGTCTTAGGAATACGATAGATTGATAGATAGGGTTCTCAACCTGGGGACCCCCAAAGGAGACACAAAGAGGTATCAGGGTGTTCTAACATCCCTGCCCTTCCTATATGGCAGAAAGGGAGCAGGGTCCTGGGTAGATTTGGGGTTGATGGGAGGTGATGCCCTGTCTGGAAGGGGCTGACAGCTGCTGGGTTGGACGGCTGGATGAGAGGAGTAACCAGGGCCTGAGCCCAGCGTGGGGCAGAGAGAAGAAAGCGAAGGCAAACCAGAATGTCCCTGGGTCACATGAGTCAGAGATATCCTGCCCTGGGGCAAACAGGGCGGCGCTTCCTCATTCCCCAGCTGGATTGGCGACACACCCCCAAGCACAGCACTGCCACCAGGGCCACGGCACACCCATGGCAGCTTCCCAGGGCTCAGAGCGGCACCGGACGGCCTGCGTTTGATTTGCTGTCTCGGAGCGGCGGCTGTGACGATGAAAGGGGAGGAGAGGAGGAGAGACGGGGGAGGAAAAGAAATCCGTCATTCCCTGGCGATTAGCGAGTGATCTCCGCCAGTGAGAATGCAGGACATGCCCTATTAGGTTTAAAATAGACTATTCTTCATTTAATCGGGCCTTTCAAAGGCTCCCCATTACCGGCGAAATCTCGGTAACCCTGGAGAAGCGGCTGCTGATGGATCGGCTGCTCAGCTCCCCATTTTGATTTCTGCATTGCTGATGCGAGTGACTCACCCCTCTAACTTTATGAAGTTATTTCCCTCTGTCTCCCCCGCCCCCAAAGAGAGGATTAAACCCTCAATTGAGTCTTTGTGCAGGGACTGAAGGGCCATATATCATCTGTTAATCCAGTCCCGGCTCCCTCCCAGCTCTCCCCGGCAGCATTAGTGGTTTGTTAAGCGCTGCGGCGATGAATCGCTGGAGCGGATCTGTCCCGGCCCCATCTCGTGGGGCACTGGATGCTTTGCAAGCAGCCGGGGGGAGGCGTTAGTACTCAGTCGGCTGTGAGGACATGGACAATAGGGTACTGGGGATGGCACAGGGGAATCCAACAGGCTGGATGAGCTCTGTGTCGGTGCAGGGAGGAGTCTAGGCGTGGCCCGGCCTCTCCCCCATTCCGTTTGGGGTGATGTGCAGAGAATGGGGGAAGTAGGGGCCTCCCGGGGTGTGGACCTCCCGAGGGGGAGAGGACATGTCCCCCTCCACCCTGCACCGCCACCCGGGGGCATGGAGATGCTGGCTCTCCCTCTAGAAACTGTGTCCTCTCCCCCTCCGGAGGCCCCGACCCTCTCTGAGCCTCTAGAATGGAGAAGGTAGGTTCCCAAGTGCTGCTGTCCCTGGGCTACGCTGTCGCTTCCCCCTAGCTTAGAGCAGGGGCAGACGGATTAGCGCAGCGCACTGACCCCTGGGTAATGGGACCCAGCGGGGAGAATAACGCCATCCCCCAGTGCTCTCACCCGGCACGGCTGTGCAACTCACTGGGAAGCAACGGGGAGTGGTGGAAAGGGGAGAGCCCCACCCACACCCACAGCTCTCGGCACAGGGTGTGGGTCACTGACCCAGTGGGATGTAGGTGTAGACAGGAATATCCCCCCCAACGCCAAAGGGCCTTGCAGAGAGGAGAGACTCAGGATGGGGGCAGCGAGACAAGATCCAAGGAGCTGGGGAGGTGAAGGGACACGGTGCCAAGGCAAGGCAGTATTCTTGGGGGCAGAGTCCAAGGTGATCTCTGGGACAGGTCACAGCATGGGGGCTGGGTCCTGGCTATCTGCAGCAGGACCTTCATCTGCTCCCCCAAGATCCTCTTGCCCTGTAAAGAATGTGTCCCCTACGGCTCAGTCTGAAACCATCTCCCTTCGGGTCGGTTGCCCCGCAGCAGGGGCCAGAAGAGGGATCATGGCAGATGGGGGAGGGGGGAAGGGTGTGAGGGGGTGGCATCGATTTCTGACTCATTGCATGACCCTGCAGAAAATCACTTCTCTGAGCCTCAGTTTCCCCATCGGTGAAATGGGCTTGAGGATACCTGCCTTCCCTTGTAAAGTGTGTTGAGGGCTACAGACGAGATATGCTACGTATCGCTATCACTCCTCTCGCCCAGTGGAGAGGAAGGGTGGCCCAATAGGTAGGGCGCCAGTCCCTGCTCCATCACAGATTGCCTGTGTGACCTGGGGCAAGTCACTCAGCCTCTCTGGCCCTCCGACTGGACAATGGGGACTTGCCCTGCCCTGCCTCTCCGGGGGGCTGTGAGGATGACAGCAGCTTCCAGCTCACGCTTTGCAACCATTAACTACCGCCCCTCTGCCAGTCCCCTGGGGGTCCCAATTAACACCGTGTTACAGCTATGGAAACTGAGGCATGCAGCCAGTAAGGGCCCAAGCTTCACACTGATCCGTGTGGACCTCCGGGCCCAGCACTGCTCCACCCAGGGGCTGCCCTGCCCAGACTGGCTTGCAGGGCCGCGGCCGTAAGGGATTTGCACACGGCTGTCCCCTCCAGCGAGTTGTGCAAAGGGCAGGGGTGGATCAGAAGGAGCAGGAATGGCCTCTTCTCTCCTTTACCATCCTAGCGCATTAAAGCCTATTGTGTACGCGGCAATTACCTCCTCGTCTCCAGGCGCCAGGCTGGGACGCAGCTACGCGAGACAATAAACCAGACCTGGTTAACCTATATTTTAAAAAGGTCACTTCTTACGAGGCAGCCAACGGGGGGAGGAGGGGGACAATCAAGTCAGCAGCCAGGAGGGGGAAGGCTGAGAGAGAGGTGCTGTGAGCGCCCTGCCCCTCCCAAAGCGCTCGCAGAGGGCTCTGCTTCGTGGGATTAGAGCCTGCGTCCCTTGAAGCACCAAGAGTTTTGCTTTCCTTCCCCTCTCGTCTTTGTGTTTTAATTAGTATTTCCAAGTGGTGTAATCCCTCCGGGAACCCGCCATAAAATACAGGCGAGGAGAACCGCTAACAATGATTCTTAATTAGCAAGCGCTTCCTACCCAGATTGCAGCATGGGCATGGGGCGGGGGGAGAGACAGGAAGGGAAGCCTAGGACAAACCAAGTCAGATTGGGGTGCCAGGAGCCACAGGGCGAGGGCCTGCTTGGTGGGTGTATATTTACTGCAGGCTGCATGGAGATTAGAGACAAAGGCTGCCCCGCTCCCACCACCTTTTATCACTCTTGGCACTGGAACCAAAAACATTTGGCTTGAGAGCAAAGTTCCCACCAGTCTCCTTCTGTGCCCGGTATCAGATACACGCACAAAGCAAACAGCGCTGTGCACACATGTGGCTTTGTCCTCTGAGCTTGCATACACAGCACACACCCCTGCGGAGAGTCAACACATTCTTGTGGCGCTGGATAAGGAACTGCTGCACCAGGTCAGATCTCTGGCCCATCGACTCTGGCGTCCCGCGGGGCCAGTTGCTTCGGAGGAAGGTGTAAGATCCGTGCACTGATGGGATAAACCAGCCTGCAGGGAGAATTCCCTCCTGACCCCAAAAGTTAGAAGCCAGTTTATGCCCTGAAGCACGAGAGTGTCTGTCCCTCATAAGATTCAAGCGTGCGCGCGCACACACACACACACACACACACACACACACACAAATGTTACCTGTCTGCCTTCACTTCTCCAGACCCCGTTCACCGTTTTCGTTGGGGCGATGGTCACCACAGGGGGCGTGCTAGGCACGCTGTGCCCCCCAGGGGGGACGATGATGGGGCCCATGGGTCCTCGCTTGGGTGTGCTGGCAGGGGAGCTGTGGTTGGTGGCTGGCGAGGAGACGGGGGAAGACTCGCTGCTTATCGAAGACCCTTTAAAGAAACCGAGAAAGGAGATCAGAAGGGAAACCTTTAACAAACCCTTAATAGTAGCACATCACCCATTAAACCTCATTGACAACAGCCCTGTCCCCTGGATCGCCAGGCTGTGGATTTGGTGGCACCATTAGCTGGGTCAGAGACCATAGATTGGGCTAGCAGATTACGTCCTGTGCAACCCCCCTTCAGAGCCGCTGACCTCTCTGAACAGGAGCATACAAGAGCACATCACCGAGGGCCCCATCCTACACGGTGCTGAGGGATTCCTGTGAGCTACTTCGCACCCACAATGGCCACTGACTGCCATGGGTATGGAGGGATTGGGCCCAGAGTGTCGGGGCCACTAGGAAAGGTCCTCAGAGTCCCATGGAGGGCCACCATCTATCCTCAATGCCCCAACTAGTCCAGTGTCATGGCCACCACTGGAGCCCTGCCTGGTGGCCCATAGGATATAATCTGCAAAGCCAGATCTATGGCTGGGAAGGGAGAAGGGCCAGGAGGGGACCTCTCTCTTATCAAGCAGGCCTCTGAATGAAACGCTGGGTGAGTACCAGGGCTGGTAGAACCCAGGCACCACAGCGACCAGCGCAAGACACCCCCACATCGCAATGCCGCTGTGTGGGTTAGACTCCCAGCAGGTGGCAGCTCCGCCCCGACAAGGCAGTGAATGCCCATGCCGGGCTGAGCGGATCTTTGCCATCCCCAAGGTGGGGGACAGGGGGAGATGGATGAAGATCCCGGAGGTGAGGGAAAGGAGGAGATGGATGAAGGCAACCTCAGGACATGTCTACCCAGGACAATTTCCCGGCATAATGATAATTACGCGCACACATACATCCCATGTCACTCTGGAAGCGATACAAACACTAGTGGAATAAGAGTGCCTGCAGGGGGCAGTTATACCAGCAAGGTGGGTACATTTCCCAGGGGGTTAAAGAAGGGATCCGTGCAGTGGATTTACTGTGTACGTCTGAGGACCTATTAACACCCCCTTCCCCGACCCCACACCAGAAGATCCAGCAGCCAGAGAACGTAGCAGCCATGTTTGTTTTCAAACAGACTCTACTTTGCCTTGCTCAGGCGAATGACCCTTTGCTCTGGGCTGCCTGAATGGCTGTTGTGCTTCATCCCAGAAGTGGCTGCATTTCAGTGGCGGAGGCACTCCGCCACAGCCAGGGCGTAAAGTACATCATGGCAATGAGTCTCGCTGTACAGTGCTATTAATAAGAGACCGTTACTCCTGCCCAGCCCCCCCAAAGCTGGCTCCTTGCCCATGGAGAGAGAGGCTCCAAGACGACCATGCAGGAGATGTGCTGCTGCTGAAAGGGGTCAGAGGCATCAAGAGCGATTAGTTGTTTATTTATAATTCAATACCCCTTTATTCAGCACGCGGCACTGTCTGTGAGCGTGTGTGCTGCGGTTCTCATTAGGGAGCATCCTCTTAGCGTTAAAAGGCTTTGCCGCACGCTGTTCAAATGGCCCAGAATGGATCCTCTCATCAGTCCCGCCTGGCCCGGGCAGCACCACAGCCAGGAGAGGGCTTCCACACTCGAGGACAAGCTGGGCTGAAGTCACTCACCGAGGGCGTCTTTGTGCAAACGGGGCAGCTGCCCGGCTTTCAGTGGTGCCAGATGCTGGCAGAGGGCAGGGGTCGGTGCATGAGGATCCCGCCCCTTGTCCTCTCCCCCAGGGCCTGGCATATTTGGTCAGCAGGTCCGTTGCTGGGGGGATGGGAGGGCTGGAGTTCCTGACATACTGCCTCCAAAGGACCTTGGTTTTTCACCCCCAAGCCCCGATGCAGTGGAAGGATTTTCAAGGCCCTCTGCCCAACCGTGGGGGCTTGAGAGCACTTGGAAAAACCGTCTCTCAAACAGACAGCTCTGCTGAGCCTTAAGACAGGGGTCACCGCGGCTGCTCCATGATGCGGCCATGTCTGTGCAGCCTCACATCACAGATCTCCCCATCAGGCAGCCAGCGGCGCCAGCCCCCGGTAAGGAACAGCCGGCTGGGGTGGTGACAGCAGAGGGGAATATCTCCCCTAACAGCCTTTGCTCCCGACTGTGGTCTTATTCTCCAGAGCCCGTCCCCAAGCACCGCACTCACGGCAGTTCTCTTGCATCGCCAACAGGGAGGCTAAAATGTGCCTCACAGTTCTCCCCGCAGCCCCTCTGGTGCCATGTCTAATCCGACACAGGGCAATGAGATCCCCTCTGGCAGCTGGAGGTCCTGGGGGCAGAGGACACGACGGCTACTGTCACGAGCAGCTCACCAAATTACTCTTGTAGTTCAGAAGTCAAAGATGCTGCTTTCGGATAGGAAGATCCTTGGTTCAAATCTCAGCAAGGATAATTGAGCCGTCTTCCATGCCCTCCCCAATGGAATGAGAAGAGTTTAGCAGCAGGCTGCAGTAACTTACAAATATGGTGGGGTAGTCATTTAAGATTTGGCTCTCCAGGTCAGCCCCTCAGTTCCCCTGTTGACCCTCTAGCAGGGGACTATGATTGTGGCATTAGAGGAGGACAAACCCCCTCACAACAAACCCAGCTAGCAGTGCCATACTAGGTAAACGAGGAAACACATTCCTTCCTGACCTCCACAGTGATCGCCCCACGCCCTGAAGCATGGAGATTAGACTAACAAACAGAACTACAAGCTTTATCGCTGCTCAGAAAATGTTCCAATCCCTTTTAAAACCCTGCCATGCTATTTAACTCAATAACTCCCTGTGGCTGATAACACGCTGTATGAGTACGTGTGTCCTTCCCAGGGGCACCCAGTCTACAGTACACCACCCTCCACACAGGCAAAGCTGGGGCAGCTACAGATGCCTAATGCAAAGTCCTGATATTCCAACTTTGAGCCAACATGAGAATTTTTCCAGCCCTCAGTTTGGCTGACTGAGCGGCATGGACATTCATCTCTGGCACTGGAGACGGGAAAGGGGCATCGGGGATGCCAAGCATGCGCAAAAGGGTGCCACTTGCGTGGCGCCAGCACCCGCTGCCAAGGAAGCCCATCACGGCACACAAGTGGGGGCACAGTGACCCGAGAGCGTGACCGCTTTCTTTCAAGAAAAATTAGCCAACACTTGCAGTTGAGGCTGCAAAAGTTACTCTTGAGTGAGCGCTGGCGCTCGCAGACGCAGGCATTGGGATAAATCGAGTCACTCTTTGTAACCCTGGGGCAAGGCTCTGGCATTATTTGCATAATACATCTGTATTTTAAATTATACCCACCCCGGGGATGCCGGTGATATTTGCAAGGGAAAAATAAAACCTCCGAAATGGAATTAAAGTACCGAGAGCAATGCATATAGAAGGGAAAGGCTGGGCCAGAAATACAAATGGGATGCTAACTAGGGCACGCAGAGCTCATCATGTGCTTCACTGCAAATTGCTAGCATGTAAAAATGAGCAAGGACAGGCCAAGCTTTCGGATGTGTGAATTTTGTGCTCCTGAAAGATACCGCTGTATGGCCGTGGAGACAGCAGCAGGAGCAGCGTGGGCTGCAGTGACCCCACGTCGCTCTGCCAACGCGCTTCAGCATCGACCACTTCCAGTGCCCGTTCAATCCTTGGCTCCTCTGCTCAGCCCGTCAACAAGCGGCCTAATTCTCTGCTGGTGGAAATGGGCAAAAGGCCAACCAAGTCAATGGCGCTGCATCCATTTACGGCAGTTTGCTAATTAGCACCAATTCTGAGAGTGGACTTAGCGGGAAGAGAACTGAGTCTGCTCTCAGCCATCAGGTGTCCCGACCGGCCTGGGCTCTGCAACTCGGTCCGACTCCCCCAGCACGTCGCTAATGGCGTCCCAGCTGAACGAGGTGCCTCTCAGCTATGAGGCTGGCACAGAGCTGGATTGAATCCCAGGGCTTGTAACTCAGAACTGGAGCCTGCAGACCTTGCGCCCGCTTGGCAGGACAAAGGAAACGCCGTGTCGTGAGTTCAGTGGGAGTTTGGCACGGATCTGGGCCTGGCAGACTCCGTGACGTCACTAGCACTACTGTTTTCTGTGGAAGGTGCCCAGATGTCACGGTGATGGGCGGCAGGATAAAGCTCTAAGATAAGATGTTCCCCTAATTCACCTGTGGGCTCTCGAACGCTATTGCTCCCCATGCTCCGGTGGCAACGCAGAGCCCAGCAACTCTCTCCGAGCCACCGTGAGAGCACGGAGCTTGGTGCCGAGCAGCAGGGGAGGAGCATGGGAAGTGGAGAAGCACCAGCTGTTTCACGTGGGCTCGGCATGGCTATCCGGGCAGGCTGGGGGATGGGGGAAACGAAGGGGCGAGTGGCGGAGGAATCCTACCAATGGCGGTGTGCGGAGAGGCGTTATTAGCTGCCGAGCCCTATTAATTATTCCTGAGTCTCTTCGGGGAGCATCAGGGAGAGAAAGGCTGCCCATGACAAAGGAGGCGGCCGATACGGATTTGACACCCTCTGAGGTCTATCTTGTCAGCGCAAGGCCAACAACAATTAGCACCTAATCCCCTCTGAGCTGGGAAGCCATTACTCACCACGCGCTAGCGTTAACAATCAATACCGCCACAATGAGACGGGCAATTAATGAAGCTAAAGTCTTACTTCAGAACCTTAATTCTCGCTGTGTGGCTTTAAACGGGAGGGTTTGTGATCGTTATAATTAACTGGTGCTATTCAGCCAGGAGTTAGTCAATGAAACTAATCTGGATTGGAGATGACAAGAGGCACAGTGTGATGGTGTCACCTTTGTTGTCTGACCTCCTGCTTTCCGCTCAGTGATAGCAGATTAGCAGGCGAGGCTGACAGGCAAATGTAATTAACAGCTGAGACCCTGCAGAAGAAGAAAAAAAAACAGAGATCTGAACCAGCGAAGCCCACAATCGGCTGAGGAGCTTTGGGGATTTCTTTGTGCCTCCTTCCTCCCTCTTCGCTGCGCCTCCCTTTCAGAATAAATTTACTCCTTGATTAGGCAAGAAAAGGTGCAGATTTCTGTCCAGCCAAGAAAGGCGTCGGGGA